GCTGGAATAATTTATAGATGTGATTCCAGTTCTGGTTTGTTCAGTTTGAAAGATAGACTTACCTACATTTTTTAATCCATTTTTTGCTATGAAATATTGGATGGAAGAGAAAACTTAATGCTCTTGGGCTGTCTGCTTATGATATGGTTATTATTGGAAATTTTACTTGTGAGACCACACTGCATGACCCTGAGTTTAGGCTCCAGGCCTCAAGGTGTTACAGAGGTCCAAAAGAGGACCTCTGCCCCTGAATTGTTTGCAGTCTAAATAGTCAAGGCAGAATGATCATTCTCATTATATAAATGAAATACTGAGGCACAGAGCAATTCAGAGCGTATCTTCAGTTCAGCAAGCTGGCTTCAAAACAGTAGGCAGTGAAGCAATACCAGTGCAGCAATCTGCATGTGTGCTAATTATCCTGGATGGATGCTGCAATTTTATATTTATATTGCATCTAAGATGCTAGCTAGTTTTTACACATATTTTTATGCAGTGCCCAGTAAAAGTATTAGCCACTCTGGAGCATTATGCACTGCAAACAGAACCAAGGTGATTTAGAAGCATGCAATCAATTTCAGAACTGTGGTTAACCTCACTACCACTTCTTTATTTTCTTCTCTTCTTCATTCTGTAAGAAAAATATTATGGACTCATAAAGCAATTTAGGGGAAGGGACCTTTAGAGGGCATATGATACAACTGCTTGCATGAAATAGGACTGATTTCAAAGTTTGATCAGATTACTAAAGGATTTTGTATCTCATCTTGTGGAGACTTTCTTCCCTATATTTAGTCAGAATTTCCCTTGCTGTGACTTGTGTCCATTGCTTCTTGTCCTTTTGGTGGGCATCCCTGAGAAAAGTGTAGCACCATCCTCCTCACCACCCATTTGGTAGTTGTAGACAGCAACTATGATCCTTCCTTAGCTTTGCCTTCTGCAGGCTGAACAAACCCAGCTCTCACCCTCTCCACATCCCTCAGTGACTAACTACATTGGACTGGTTGGACTTGCTCCAGTATATCAGTGTCTTTTCTTGTACTGGGGAGCCAGAAGCTTGTGAGGGTGTGAGTCCATCTGAAGACTTTAATCTAAACCCACATTTTTTTTGGAAGTGGTAAATTGCATTGGTAAATCTCTTTGGGAAGTGAGCTCCATTAGTTAGGTCCTGGTCTCATGGAATTTTTGCCTCCATCCTGGAGCGTAAGCTACCAATATCATGGCTCTAGCAGCTGGTGGTATATATCCTGATGAGCTAGAACTCTTCCCTGTGCATACCTGTGGCAACCTCATGTAGTCCTGTAAAAAGCTCTGAAGGTCAGGATGAAGACCTTCATAATGACTCACATGTAAGTGCTGTGATAGAGAATAAATGAAATCTGAGTTGGGAAGAGACTGATGAGGCAGAAGAGAATGCCAGGGAGTGGTGGCAGCTTTCAAGTCAATTTTAGTATTGCTGAAAAATTCTGGCTGCAGTTTTGCACTTATAGCTACAAACTATGGATACAGATGTGGGTGAGGAGATCCAAGAGGAAAATGAGGGTTCAGAATAATTGCTTCAGGAAGAAGGTTTATTTTGTTTCAGGGCATTTGGAACAAGTATCTGCTGGAAGGAGGTGACTGTGCTGCAGACCTGTGATAACCAGCAGTGGTGAGAAATGACAGCCCTCCTATGACAGGCACATTGAGAATTTTGCTATGTTTTGATCAGTTCATTAAATGGTCATCTCTGTGGGTACGCTATCAGAATTGCCCAGGGCACCTGCTTTGAGGAAAATCACTGATTCTGGCCTGACTTTTTTTTAATCAAGGCAAGTGATGCACAGGAACATTTGCAGTGACATGACCTGCTGAGCTGTACAGGCTGGTGTTTATTTTGGTTGTTTTTTTTTTCCTGTGTGGCGCTGGTTTTGCATGTCCTGTACACTTTTGGATTAAAATTACTTGATGGTGCGTGTTGGTTCAGTGAGGGGAAAGGCCAGTATTCGTAAAACATTTTTAGTTTGCTTTCATTATTTGTTCATAGAGCAGTGGTTGTGTTTCAAAGTAATGTTGAGACCTTCTCCATGGATGCCGGTGAAAGAAATGTGTATTGTCTGGGGTTTTATGTGGCCTCCATGAATTTATACATGTGCAGAATTTGTGCTATCCATTTATGAGCAATTTAGTGCTTTGGCTTTCCAGGGGTGTTCTTTGTGTGCATATGGAATCCATTACATATGATTTGTAAATCCTTTGTAGATTTTAAAAACAGTGAAGAATGGTATTTCACAATACTGTAACTACGAACTAATCTAAAACACCCTAAATATTTGAAAATTGTTTGTCTTCCTAAAAGTGGAAGTGCATAAATAGTAAACAGTGCGGGCTGTAGGGTTTTTAACCAAAGAAAATGAGATACTCTGCTGCTAAACTTTGAGGTTTTGTGTTTCTGCAAAACCTCATAATGACTGTGATCAACTTGTCCCCTTTGTGACCACTGAGGAGTTTTAGACATTGAAGTCATATGGTTCCACTGGAACATTTGGGAAGGAGGGTTCAGAGAATCCCCTGCTTTTCCAGGCTGCTGGTTTTGTTGCCAGGATAGAAAGACATGCTGTGGGAAGGTCTTGTGGTAAACCACTGTTCAGGAAGGTGAGCTCTACCGAGCCCTGAAAGCTGAGACTAATGGACTTTATCCTTGATACAGATATGCTGGATTGCAAAGGGCGGGGGGGGGGGGAGAGGTGGATGTCATGCAAAAACTTTCAAAGAGCATTCTTTAAAGCACTAATCTCCTGGTCTGCTTTGATAATTTGGTTTTAGCAATTTCATTGGTCATGGACTTTCCCTCTTAGCCCCTTTGTCCTCTTTGCTTCTCCTCCAATTCTCTGCTAATCCTAAACCACTTTTCTCTATTTCAGAGGCTTTCCTGAAGATATGTGACATTCCTTGTTTCAGTCTTCCCTTCCAAGATCTTCATATGCTGTGTAGTTGTTAACAACAGGGTCTCTGAGGACCTCAGTGCCTCCGGTGAGTAGTATAAGGTAAAAAATAACATTATTTGTTGTTCAATATCTGTGGTGACAAAGATTTAAAAAAATATCCACCCAACAAGTTTGAGATACCCTCTACAGATCCTTTTTTCTATCCTGGAATTTGGTCTCACCTTTCCTTCCACGTGCTCAGGAATACAAGTGCAGGGCATCTATGTGAGCTAATGCTCATGCCTAAAAGAAGCTCCATGTCTGCATTTAGGGACCCAGCATAGGGCAAGATGCCATAGGATAGGATGCTTATAAATACTGCAGGTTTAGACCTAGGTCACTGCTGTGTACCTCCTAATCCCATTTTGTGGCTTGTGCATTTTTCTGTTGGTGGGGTTTGCTGTTTTATTACGGTTGTAAGTCTGCCTGAGGATGCTGGGATCTGTGTTTAAGGCCTGTTATTTGTGATGACACTTGGAGTAGTTATTCTGTGGTCCCTTCTGAAATGTATCAATTATGTGATTGAGTCCAATCTCTTCCTGTCACAACACGTGACTCAGGAACAGATATTCTTCCACCATCATGGAGAGATGTGTAGCCTTGATCAAAGGAAGCATGTACTTATAAAGGCTAAAGGGAACCAACAAAGTGTAAATTGCTTTTATCCATCAGAGTTATGCCTTATAATGTTCTGATTGTCTGAGAGGACATAGACATCCATCTGAAGCCTGGATGAAAGCAGCCCTTTCTTGTAAAGTCAAGGGCTCTACTGGGACACTGCATACCTAGAATTTCACTATACAACTCCCCTTGTATGCTCAGCATTGGTTGTGCCATCCTTGTTGCTCTATAGTGACTCTGAGGCACATCTGGAATTAGTAATGTTCATATCTCCTTAATACTTCCACGCCACTGGCATGTAATCCCCTACTTGGCATTTTCCTATTGCTCAAATGCATTTTTAGTATCTTCCACTGATCAGAAAACAAATGACATTCTGAGGTTGGCACTGAAAAAAATCCCTTTTCAAACTTTGCACTGGTACAGACCTGTTCTGATGAAGTATGTGCCTGTTTATTCTGTATCCTACATACAGATGCAGAATTAACTGGCATGGGAGGCAGGCTGAAGGAATCCCTGCCCAGTCCTCACTACCGCTTCTGAACTCATGTGAACTCATGCTTTTTCCTCGTTTACCCACTTTTGAGGGAGCTTCAGCCAGCCAGCCCCAGTAATTTCATAATATCCAACTCAGACTAAATCATGCATACAATAAAGCACACACATGAACAGACAGTCTGATCAGAACAGTGTGAAAAGCAGCGGGGAGATGGTTGGTATGGTTCAGAGCGTAGATGCAAGGGCCACATTATCACAGTTACAAAGCAACACAGCAATTCACCAGTTCAATCATCCTGACATCTGCCCCATGTAGATGAAGGTTTTTTTACCTCAATGGAATCCAGTTTGTAACCAATAAAAATCCTGAACAAGCGATGTCAGGGAAGCGCAGGTTGGAACTGGATGGATACAGACAGCTCTTTCAGTTGGAAAACTGATGATGTTGAGGTTCCATTTGTATTTTTTAACCCAGAACACACAGAACCATAGAAAGAACTATTCCTTTAGTCTGTGGAAACTGTGAGGTTCAGGTACACAGTAAGTTTATGAGGAAATAGTATTTTTCATCTATTTTGGGTACACGCATCAGAAGTAGTTGTTGCTTTTCCACAGGCTTTTGAATTTGTAATCTCACGTCACAGGAGCACCTGAGCATTACATACATGCACACAGAGATTTTATTTAAAACACGGATCAGGGCAGGAAGCTTTAAATCGTGTTTCGCAGTGAAACTCAAAGGTACCTCAAAGCGGCCTGCGGGGGGTTGGGGGGGGGGGGGGGGCACCACCGATGGGTACCGCTGCTCCCCAGAAGAACCGGGCACACATTCACCTCCCCACGCACACGTAAGAGCACGGAGGACGGGTGCTTCCCCCGGGCCCGAGTGGAACGGGGAACACGCCGGGAGGGGAAACACCAGCCCCGCCGCCACGCCGGGCCCCCGAGCCGCGGCGGCCCCCGGGCGGGGGCGGGCGGCCCCCTCCCCGCCCCTGCCCCGCATTGGCTGCGGGCGGCTGACGGGCAGCTGGGGAGGCCCCTGCCAGCCGGCCGCGGAGGGGCATGCCTGCACTGGGGGTCCGGCCGCGGCGGGGAGCGGGGTGCTGAGCCGAACGGAGCCGCGCCAGTGCCGCCATGGGGGTAGAGATCGAGACCATCTCCCCGGGAGACGGTACGGGACCGGGGCGGGGGGAGGAGGAGGAGGAGGAGGAGAAGCAGCAGCAGCAGCAGCAGCCCTGCGGCGTGGGGGGCGAGGGGCGCCCGGGTCCGAGCGGCGACCCGACCCGGCGGCTGTCGCACGAGGGGCTCCGAGGCCGGGAGGAGCCGCCGTCCCCGTCGCCGGGGCCCCGGTGCGGGGAAGGCGGCGGGGTAAAGGGGGGAAGGCACGGCCGCCCCCGCACTCCCCGCCCCCGTGGGCACGTACCGCCGATGCCAAAAGGGGGGCAGCGGGGTGAGGCGGCCGCACGGGGGGTCCCGGCGGCGGGGGAAGCCGGCGGCTCCCGGCGGCGGCGGCAGCAGCAGGGGCGGCGAGGGGGCTGGGGATTTTTCTCTGGCATCCGCTGACAGCTGCACAAACCCGGGCGCGTCCCGGGGCCGCGGCGCCCCGCCGGGAGCGCGCCCTGCCGCAAACTTTCCCCGGTTCCCCGGCCGGCCTCGCCGGGGCCACCGGCCATTTGTGTCAGCATCCCTCCCGGCGCGGCCGCCTGCCTCCTCCTGGTTAAACGTGAGATGCTGGCGAGGGCTGAGGTGCAGCCCGAGTGGCAATAACCTCTGCTTGGCGCAGGCTCTCCTCTCCAGAGCCAATTCATCTTGTTCTGCTCTTCCGTGGCGTTACAATATAATTTCATAAGGTTTTGGGTTTTGTTTTTGCCTTTTTTTTTTTAAGAGGATGTAATTTCTAACATACAACCATATGTGTAATAGGCCAGATTCATCCTTGGCTGATACACAACTGTAAACGATTTGTTCAAGTCGGTCTCAGCTTAACTTTCTTGGCCCGATATCTCTTCTTTCTTTGCGTATGCTTTTAAATTGGTTTCTTCTTCTGTGCTGTTTAGCACTGGAGATCAGATTCTTCTGTGGGTTGCATAGATGTAAAAGCAGAATATTTATGTGGGTAAAAGTAACATTGTTGGGTTGAGAGTAGAAAGATGGGTGGAACTTAACCTTGTAATGGTGCTTTCTAGCTATTAAATATATCAAGACTGTCTTTGTAAGCAATATGCTATTCCAAATAAGGTTATATGGATTAGTTCGCTTGGTTGCAAGTCTTAATCAAAATCAGCTGACTTTAAACACGGTCTTAAAACCACAGCTAGTCAGTGGTCTTGAGAATCTCTGCATTTAATTCAGCTTTGATGTGAATTTATGTAGTTTCACTGACTTTTCTGGTGTTAGACTCACACAGGAGAATATGTGTCTGATACTCCTTTTCTGAGATCTTTGTATAATAGTGCATCATTTGAATAATACCTGTTTTACCAGGGGTAGGATTCATCTCACATAACTTTTCTCAGGTTAGGTGGCTAGTCTTCTATGTTTCATCTGTAGTCTTCTCCAGAGAATAATTAATCTTGCCTCTCTCTGGATAGGCTGTGTTTCTCTCAAAGCACTGCTAATTCTCTACTGTCAATAGGAGAAGCCCCAGAGACCGGCATATGATAGTTGCCTATGTTTTAGATGGCTAAAGTTAAATGACATGAATCCTACTTTAGGGTTACAGTGGTGCCCTGACTGGATACCTGTTGTACTGTGCTTTGTATAACCCACAGCTAGAGATATTGCAACCAAATACAAGCAGATGAACAAGGCTGTTCAGGCAATGCTTGGAAGTACTGTCTTCTTAATTTCATAAATCTCAGTTCATCATATCAGCCTGCCCTCACGCCATTTACTGCTTGTGGCGGTTTTGTCATGTAAGCCCTATAGTTTACGTTTCACTTGATGTTTTATACCCTGTGATGCACCCCGTAATGCATAACTTATCATGTTAATTCAGACCAAAGAGGTCAAAAAGCCAACTAAGATATGAGCCTCAGTTTCTATCAACATCCCCAGTTTCTAGCTTTCTGGCAAGGATGTCCCTTAATAATTTGTCTCATATATACTTCTGAGTTCTTCTGAGCCTGAGCCCTCCCCTGGCCAACATTACTTGAGAAATCAAGGTTAGCTGTTTTAATATGCCACTGCACCTAAGTGAGCCTGGTAAATCTTCCCCTAGCTTTTATTGCCTTTGGCAGTACCTAGAACAGGTAAAATGGAAATGGTAATTTTGTCTTCCAGTGGCAAGCCTTCTTTTCCTTTCAGTATGAAAATTTTAAGAGGCTTTTACAAGAACTCAGTGTATCACTGCTTTCCTGTTGCCTGATGCTACAATATTAAACTGCCTTTGTATGTGAAAATTTTTAAAACCCTTCCTGGCTAATTAAAGGTGCCCTTGTTAGAGCTGTCTTGAATAAAAGGCATTAGAAATGTGAATACGAATGGAATTTTTTCACAGTGTCAAATGAAGACTTTATTTGAAAAATTATAACGAAAACATTCTGAGATTTTTTTAAGGTTATAATCCGTGAAGTTTTGACAGTCCTTTTGCACTTACAGAATGTAAATGCATATATAATGCCCGCATATGTAGGAAAAATTACATAAGGAAAATACTATGTGGTATAACAACTAAATGAGAGCTAATCTGGGACTTTCTACCCTAAACCATACCCATTCCTGTCTTGTGTATTAGTGATTTGATGAAGCATAGTCAATACAAATCTAAGTCTGACATTTTCCTCTTAATAGATAAACATGCCTAGCCACCCAGATTAATCAGAGAAAATAAAAGAATAACCTTTTATAACTTTAACAGGACGGACATTTCCGAAGAAGGGTCAGACGTGCGTGGTGCACTACACAGGTAAGGCACGTTCTGAATATTCTCTTGATGCCAAACGCCTTGTGGTCAGGAGTGATTTGCCATTACAAATGTGTTTATTGTATTTTTTCCTTTGTTCTGTCACTCATTATCCATTTGAGTATATTCTGATGGCTTTCCAGAATATTTCACTTCTAGCTGAGCAATTCAGGCTACAGTATCTAGATGTGCATCCTAGTAAATTTGCCAAGTGTAGTGTACAATGGTGGAAGGTTAATGGATGAATCTGTGGACCTGATTCTTTGAGTCATTATACTAGCTAATGAAATCAAGCATGAAACAGTGAAAAAGCTGGGTTCATATTTTTCCAGCCTCCAATCTCAGTACAAATAATTAATGATTGTATATATCTTAAAAGCGTGTGTCTGTGTATTGGCAGTAAAATTCATTCCAGATTGAAGAGATCAATACAAGGTCTATTTAACACCTGCTTCATGGACTTGTATGAATCTTAGTGGTGAGTTGGTTAATGGAGCTGTTTATGCTGCACCTTCACACAGAGGAAAAATGTCCTTTAAATCCGTTTGTAATGTTATGTTTTGTATATAGTTATGTAAATTGTCAAAGGAATGCAAAGACCTCTGCAGTCCAAATCCCCAGCTGAGAAGTTCACATCAAGAGCTGCCATTTTATGTGATCTTTTCCTTAAGAAGGGAAGACATAGGTGATGTAGGGATTGACAGCTGCTGATCTGGGCATAGATCTGCCAGGTACTGTTTTCCTCTAGCTTTCAATATTACAGTAAAGTTCTCACTGGTAACTGTTGCTTTCTTTCAGTTTTGTACTTGGTTCTGTAGCTTACAGCTGGAGCAAGGTGGGAACATTTTCTGGTAAATATAACTAGTGAAGTAAACCTATCTGTATTTTTAAGAAGGTTTTTGATATAGTTTCAGTGATATCACTCTTCATAAGGTTATACAGGAATTAGTGCACTGGCTTGGGATATAGGATGTCAGTGTTTAAGCTCCTATACATTTCTATATTCAGAGTATTTTGATCTGATGAGGATTTCTAGTTTGAATTAAAAGTTAAACACATGGGTCTCCCATATCAGTTTCAGATCTTACAGACGTTCCTCAGTAACTTAGATCTGAAAATAGATGTTTTGAAACTATTTTTGTGAAGATGTCAAAAGATATGTTTCTGTTCCGGTCCAAACTTCAAAAGTTTTTATGAAATAAAATTGTCACCTCCCACCCCCAGTTAGTTTGAGATAAATTTACATGTCAGAACTGAAATAGGCAAAAAAATCTGAGGCCAGTGGCACCCACAAAGCATAATTTTGCTGGATAGCTTCAGAGAGAGTGAATTATAAATGTGGAAAGATAACAAGATACTACATTCTTTTATTGATATTAGATGCCGTCTTAGATGAGGCTATCATAAGCTGTCTTTGACATAAAAGACTTTATGAAAACTCATTAAATCAATCTCCAGTGTAAACTGTGCTTCCTCCATATATCTTGCTATTGGTGCTATGCAACCTCTCTAACTCCCAAATTAGAACAGATATCAGAAAGAGCTCATTGCCTCAGTTCCAGCGCTGTTGCAATGTTTAAGCAGTCTCTGGTGGTAATATTTTTAAAGGGAGCCCATGGTTAGTGGTTAAGGTGTTTTCTTCCAGTGGTTTGTAAAGCATATGGGAAAAGTGACATATAAATGGAAAGTTTTAATTTAAAACTTTTATCTGAATAAAATATAACTTCTTTTTATACTCATGCAATTCTGGGTATGGCTGGGATTCATCATGAAATGATCTGTCTTGTTTTTGTGATCTTACTAGGCCTCACTGTATGTAATGCTTATCCTCACCACATTCCTGTGAGGCCTGCTTTAGGAGGTAGATAGTTAAGTTACAGAGATGTCCACAGAGATATCCCAAACACCTGTCTTGTCACCAGAAATGGGAGTTAGGAAAAATTAAGACATCTAGGTGCAAGGAAATGATCCAGAAATCCTTCTTTCCAGAGCTGCTTAATATTGGGAGCATGTAAAGCTCACAAGTTGTCTCCATGTTCAGCCTATGTGCCACTCTGGAGCTAGGCACAGATACCTGCAGGGAGGTGTGGTGGTCTGGGAAGTGAGGGAACCATGCACTGACTGGACTCCACCATGATCTAAAAATCATTTGGATCACCAGAAAAGCTTAACCTCACTGGAGTGCTCAGAGCACAGCTCTGAATCCAGCATCAAGCACAGCAGAGACAGCCAACTTCAGTCTAAAACATAGCCCGTGGGAGCCCACTTTATGTATAATAACCAAACAGTTGTTTCAGGTGTGGCAAACCTATGCTCAGTTGCCTTTTCCAACAGAGAGAGTCACAGCTCTATTTGCCACATCCTTAACTGCAACTGTTACGTTCTTGGGTAGGAGAAAACTGAAATTTCCTGCTCCGTCCAGTTTAGCTTGGGACATTCAGCAGTGAAGAATGCAAGAGCTGTGGGCAAGGAGCAGGCAGGAGGGCAAGTAATTGGTGCAGGTACTCATGCAGGAGTATTGGAGGAGTTGTGTTCCAGTCCTTGTCTTCAAGGATTAATTTTGTACTTTTTTAATCCAATGATTTTCCATATGATGGTGCATAGTCTTGACAGCTTGATAGGCCACATAACTTCTTGCAGTGGCTCTTCCACTGTCATACCAACGCACACTATCTGGTGATACAGCTCCTTAGCACAAACACAGTTGGTTTCATGATTCCCTGAAGGGCTAGGGTTTTTGTGCATGCATAGAAAAAACATTGCTTGTCCACTAATTATCCATGTCTCAAAAGTTTCTAGCAAGGAGGAGGAGGAGGGGACTAGAAGGGGCTTGTTTCTGCCAGAGTAAGTTAAGAATTTTTAAGGAGACTCAAATGAGGAGTGAGCTGTGGGCTCTATTTTGTCTCACTTCCCTGTCTTGCCTTCCCTCTCCAGGAGTCTCATAGATGTGCATTTAACATGTGATGGGGTGATGGCAAAGAGCATGGACAGGAGCGGACTGCTGGCACTACAGGAGGAAAAGGCCTGTAGCTTGCTTCTGAAGCATCTTTGGGAAAAAGGTTTTTAGGAGCAAGCTGTCTGCATGAGTTGTCCTGACAGTCCATGCAGAAAAAGTTCAGAGAGGACCAAAGGCTGGTACCTTAGGCATCTGGCAGAACTTCAGAGTCCTGTCTGCTCATCCTCCAGGATTTTATGAGTCATGCATCACCAAGGTAGGGATTCAGCAGGGTAGCTTCTAGTCTGACGACCCTACATGTTCTAGAGAAGTGGGAAGTGTGAACTGGAATCTCCTCAAGATGAAGGAGAACTGTGATCAAGTTTTACACTTCTGCTGTCAGCGCTCCAGCTATTAGGCTGTTATATGTGGCAGCTTTGCCTCTTCCTCTCCTTGTTCAAGTAGATGCATAATCTCAGGAGCAGACTTTGTAGTCTGATTCCCAAATGCATTGTGATGCCTTAGCGGACAGACATAAATTCCAGTGGCAGCAGGAGTTAAGGTGCAATCTCACTAGAGAACAGTTTAGAAGGAATCTCTTAATTTAAGCTTTTTTTTTTTTTTTTTTTTTTTCTTAAGGAGTAGTTCTTGGCTGCTTTACAATAAGAGCAGGATTTTTGGATTACCCTTCAGAAGTACCTAATTGCCCTTTCTGACTACATAAGACGCCTTAGTGCCTAACTTTGGTACTGTAAATCACCTGCTAATTTTTCAGCTTTGCACACAGCCTGAGTTAAGTACACAAATAGATGCTGCAGATCATTGCAGAAGATTAGATAGGAGAACTGTGATAGAACATGAAACTGAATCCCGATCTTAATATATGATAGAAGTATGTGGTCAGATCCCAGTATATTTCATCTTTGTTAAGAAGTACAACAAATACAATAATTTCTTATCAGCCAGCATCTATATTGTGTCTCAAAAGTTACCTGACACAATATTGAAGTAATGGGATTAATAGATAAGGTAGTGCATTGGCACCAAAATGCATTTCCAGCAGCATTGGTTTATGTCATGTTTTTGTCAGAGATTTCATTGAGCAAGCTTCTGAAAGCCTTTGGCAATCTGCTTACTCCTTCTGTTTTCCATCTGCAAAATGATAGTTGTACTTTGTCTGCCTTGTGTAGATAGATTGCAAGCAATTTGAGATATGAACTGCCTCCTTCTTCAGGCCTAGCATAATGGCGTCCTAATCTTGATTGCGTCTTCAGGTTACATTGTAGTATTGATAGTAATACAAGTAAACAAATTACAGTGTCATTAGTCCTGGAGTGTATCAACGTAATTGAGGCATTTTCTGCAGTTTTGTTTCCCATGATTTAAATTTGTTGACTCTGACAACGGGAATTAGCAGTGTAGAATTTTCAAAGATTTACGAACGTGACTTTGAGTTAGAAACGCCCCTGAACAAAACCTTTGCTGGGGTTGTGAATGTTCTGTCTAGAGACTGTGGGGTAAAACCTGCACCCTGAGAAGCTGAATCCCATTCCTGGCCCTCCTGCTGGATGATGGCATACCCTCAAAAAAACTTTGTGTATACTGGTCCCAAATCTGCTCTTAATAGTGAGAGGGGATTTTTTTCCCAGATTATTTGGAGCTGCTGTTCTCTTGTGTTGTCCCATGTAGCTTGTGGCAGTGCTGAATTCTTAACCTCTTCATCTTTCTCCTTGGCTACCTGTAAATCTGTGCTGATAAGAGAATTACCCTTTTTAAGGAACTGATAATGTTCAGTATTTGTAGTGTGCTGGAACAGACTTGTTTGAGTGAGACTATAAAGGCACATTAAATCATTAATTATTTATTAAACTGGACTTCTATCAAAGATATTCCATAGACTTTTTAGGCTAGTGCAATGGTGACAAAATTGCACCAAATAGAATAGAGTAGAATAGAATAGAAATTTTCAGTTGAAAGGGATCTACAATGATCATCTTGTCCGACTGCCTGACCAATTCAGGTCTGACCAAAAGTTAAAGTATGTTATTAAGGGCATTTCCCAAATGCC